TCTCAAGTAAAACTCAATCGAAAAAGGAACTTTAAAGGACACTTTTTTGTTTTGGAAATTATATTTATTTTGAGAACTAACATGCCTAAACATTAGAATTGCTTTAAAACGGTACATTTTTCACGTTAAACTTTAGGAACCGATGACATTTTAGAATTTTCTTGCACAATGAAGACCCTATTATTCAACAGCTAGTTTTATAGAAATCAAAATCATCTTTATATACCGAGATTCCTCCTCTCGCAGCCGCACGTTAAAATTAAGTGTTTGATCTATGGGACTAAAATCAAGTTGTTATCTACCTACGCGAACATACTAATTGAATATAAATGGTCCTCTCAAATTCTAGTTCATATTAGCCTTTTATAAAGTTTCCCCTGACTTAACACCTAGAACATCTTTCCGGAATACTTTATTTTACTGTTGAATTTTGAAGGAAGACCTGAAATACCGTCAGCATTGTCGATAGAAGAGGAGCGGTTAATCAAATCCCTTGAGCGTCTGAACAGGCGACTGAATGGTAAGATATTTTATAACAGTTACTATTTTGGGACTTTCTTTGTAAATAAGTTAGCAAATTTACATATACGTTACAGCAGTTATACAAAACGTAATTACTGAATGAATAATATTCCACCCGACTGAATTATCCTACATGACCACAAAAAAAGAAACTATAGTCAGAAAAACAGTTAGCTATGTTCCTCTCAGTTATTAGTTTATCTAATGTACGAAGACAGACGCTCGCATTATAAGCAAGCATACTATCATCAATAAGACTGAAAGGAAACTGGTTAAATGTCTATATCTAACTCCATTTTTATCAATTAATTTGAGTAAATGGCATTATACTTGCAGTTCGTCGCCACAATAAATCACTTTTCGAATTTATTAGACAAATTACAGTGGTATTCAACACTAATCAAGTAAATATTTGAGTGTACAGAGAGGAGTTACACTATTGTATGAATATTAGTGACGTCACCCGGTTCTCCTGACTGAAGCAGCACAGTCTAACACCAGACACGGAGTGTTTTGGCAAGCCGCCGCATCACTACTTCGGTACTCAAACCAAGTATTGACAGGAAACAACATATGATCTCTTTGAATCGCTTATCTGAAAGATAATCCAACATGTGTAATACGGAAAGCTATACGTTTTCAATTTCGCTTGAAAATGTGTCACAGTCGTTGATTTTACATTTGACAGAGGATAAAAAAATAGATGATAACGCACGGCAATGTCCCTCTGTTCCCTTAGCTCAATCCATGTAAATAGTGATTGCGAATTCTAGATTATTTACGTCCAAACGCGCTACAATGGCCCTACCGTAGATTGTTTTACATATATCATAAAATCAAATGTTTGGTACTTACTACTGTTATTTTTTGTCTTCAAAATTAACACAAAACTTTCTCCAGCATAATCGCCATGTGGTAATAAGCTAAAAAAATTTCATTTACGAGAATGCCATAAAATCCCGATTGTTTTTCCGGCGTCGGGAATAAATGTTTTCTATGAATTCATTTATGATGACATAAATCAATTGACACATGATCTCAACCATTGAAACTACTATAATATCCAGAAAAACCCTTCTGATATGAATTGACATATGCTCACGAGTGACTGGCTTCGAGGGATATTTCCTGGAGTTCTAATGAGAAACAGTGACCAGTGGAGCTCAACTGAGTCTGTTGTCAGATACTAACTCACTGAAGACAATGGTGTATGTGTCGCTCAATTCAGTGGATTGGTTGAAGTTAGACCTTAACATCGTTGGATGCCGGCTGAGTGGTCTAGTGGTTAAGCGCTCGCGCGCGAAACTGATAGGTTCTGGATTTGAATCTCGCGAGGTGGGATCGTGGATGCGCACTGCCGAGGATTCCCACAATAGGATGAAACGGCCATCCAGTGCTTACAGGTTTTTCATGATGGTCTAGCTTTAATCGACCTATGATCTCAACCATTGAAATTACTTTAAAATCCACAAAAACCCTTCTGATACAAATAAATAAGGCTAATTTTATGATAATTCACGTTGTAAACCGGGCTACCGTTGTACTAACGCAGTGAACTGTCAAGCAGGCTATGTACAACCATTAAAAAAAGATATGCACATCCTATCCATGGATATTTCATATTCCGATTTCAGCTTTATATGGATAGATGATCTGGTCTCAACATAACCTGAGAGTGATGCACATCTTAATGGTGCAGACTGTAAATTCTACAATCAATGCAATTTTTAAGTAATACAACAAATAAAACCTACATATCTAGACAACACTCGCCTTATAAGGGATTCTGGTTACAAAGAAAAAAAATGGTAACAAACATAAGTGTTATTGCAATTTTCGATAACCACGAAGATGTCATTCGGCAATGTTTTCAACCCCGAAGATTATCCGGAACTCCTACTGTCACGATGTAGACTGCAGATACCGAAGTGTGTGTTGACAGCGTTTGCCGTGTTACTCTTTAGGACGTCCAGCATAAGCAACGAGATTCTTAGTCACTACATGATTTTCTTTATACAGCCTTAAATAGTAAAAATACTTTTAAATATTCGAACTTCTGACGTGATGAAACACAATCTAACAGTTGTTTGAACAGCTGAAACAATCCACTCCTGTTTGAAAAAATTATTTATTTTAACACATAAATATTGGTTCAAGGAGGCACCAAATACATATCGCAACACAAATCTCATTCGATATGTGTGAGGGCTGCGATACTGCCCGGGTGCCCAAACCGAAGCAGGTGGTTTTCTTAGGGGGCTACTCCCCGAAGGTCTGATCCACAAGGCAGTGGGGCATCGTATGGAGATGCAGTCCCATGGAAGCCGGTGACCAACAATTGGTTCATACGCCATTTGTTCCCGCAGGATACTGGGGCCCATGTGCACCATTGATTTGGTTTGGGATCCGGTTAAAGCGCCGGACATTCGCTGTTCGTCCTCTCATTTTCGTAAACAACACCCCAGCCACGAGAAGGCAGTGAGTAGGACTTCTCTGGCAGAGGCTATATACGCGTGACCATGTGAGAGCGGACTCTTCCTACTCTCGGCCGTACCAGGAAATTTTAAAAAAATATTTGCAACACTATTTCAATAAAACACTGAATCCTGAAAACAATCTTTATCACTACTCTCTTGAAGTTGAAATATTGCATCCACTGTTTTTATTTATTTGGAAATTCCAGTCACAATAGATTTGTAGGACCAGCATATTATTGGGAGATCCATACATTTTACCAACTGTATACCTCAAAGTATAATTTTAAAATATTTACTCGGTTATAACGTTCATTCATCTATTCTTCGTTTTCAGATATAATTATTCGTCAGTAGTGATAAAACAGTTCTGAGTCGATCACAATACGTACCCTTTACAACGAAGAACAAATCAAATACATATACAACTGTATAAAAGTCCACGAGTGTCATGCACGTTTTTCTCATTATATAAATATATAAAAACTAACTAATATTATTGAGACGGTTCGGGGTATTTTTCTGGGAAACTTTGAAGAAAACAATCAAGCTTACGGATGAAATGATATGCTCAAAATAAAAATGAAGGGGTCGTAATGATCACTTCTGAATGGCCGAGCTATACCGCCTCAACTATGTTCCACAGTTGACACTCAATCTCATTCCATACTTTCCATCTACTATTCAATATCCAGTGTTCTCCCGTTTGGCTTTAAATCCGCTCAGCCTGATGGATGACTTGTGATAAGGGTTCACTATCGGTTCATTGTCTCAGTAGAATCAAACCGAGTAAGGCCATCGCACACCAGAGTTCACAAAGAGGTTGGAAAAAATCCTACAGTAACCATAAGCTGAACGGTAAATCAAACAAAACAGGAGCAATTGACTTAGAAATAACATGTAAATGGCTTCAAAATGTTTAGATTAGTTAACAATATGTGCCAAATAAAAAACGACCTGGCTAATTCAAAGAAAAAGAAACCCAGACATGATTCAGTAGAAAAATGACTTGGCGAGTCACATCAAAACGCATAAAACTAACTGGTAGTTAATATTTTAACTAATAGACAGTATAAGTGATCCATCCCTAGATAAGTAATGGTCGAGTGGTGAAACAACCGATGCATCAGGAATGCTGATAATGACACTACATTGGATTTTAACCAAAAGGTCAGTTTGGATAGACGATGTTGTCCTGTTCGTATATATTGACTTTCAGTGATATCGGTACCAGTAGAATAATCCAAGGGATAGGGTTAAAATTACTGCAATTAGTGTAACGAACTGAATCTCAGTGTTCCGTCTGAATGCTAAACTAACGAACTAAGGTAAATCCGATTATGCCAAACTACGTTCCACCGTATGGCGCACGAAGGTGAGTACCAACAAAAGTTCAACAGTGATATGATGATTATTTATCGCCTCGAATGTAAATATCAGGTTTGGCAACGCGAGATAACACGAAATCAGCAGATGCGTCTTCGTGATTGGCTTCTAAGGAGGATATCCATCCTTACTCTATGTAGCAGTGAAGGCAACACTTCATCAACTAACTCGCTCTTTATGATAGTCAGTGAGCATATAGTTAATGTGACCTCGACTCACTAACGTTATAACAAGATATCGACATCCACTGACATAAATTTGACTTAGTAGTTTGAGATTCAACAAATGGCTTGACCGACTCCAGTAAACTGGCATTGGGGACAATAACCATAAAGATATCTTAAATATAGTGGGGATCGGCTAATGGCTGCTTTCGATGACACATCTTATATTAACACCACATATATAATGCGTTTACGTTTTAAACGTGCAAATCTGAATAGTTGTCATATTCTATAAGTCATAAACGCGCAGTAAGGGGGATGCTTCACGAATATTCTTGTACGCAAGTTACGTCAGCCCATCGACTGTTGTCCTCAAGTATCAGTATTGAGGCACACGAGAACACAATGAATTGCGAGAAAATATACAGTTTATTTATAGCTCTGAAAAATAGAGTCAGTCACTGTCGTCGGATGATGATTCTTCAGCTTCCGTATCCTGACTGTAACGGAAAAGAACAAGATGACCAGACTAGTAGAATACAATCAGAAAGAAATGTCATCAATATGAGCAGACATATGCTTGTTCATCATTAACGATATTAGTGAAACTCACCCGTCGTGATCGTTCAAATTTTTGCTGAAATGTAAAAAAAACCTGACTTAGTTCGGATGGATAAAAAACGAAGCGACATTCAGATAATAGCGTCATCAATTGAAACAGACATATGCTTGATCATCATAGCCATTGTATTCTAAACGTACCTTGTCATTTCATCGTCACTTGAGTCGGAAGGATTTGGTGCTTTAATTCGCCGTCTATCAAAGATGTCGAAGATAAATAGTGAACTTACGTTACAGCTTCCCCAGCCTCACTCACTTCCATTTTGGTTTTGGATCTGAAGTACGCGTTATCAAACATTGACCACTTACCCAACAGAGTTCGGGTTATTTGTCACACCGTCAGATTTGGCAAACTTTTTAAGTAAACCTTGGGCAACAAGTTTTTTCCTTTCCATGGAAACAGGACCACGACCCCACTGGCGAGGATAGAGATCACGCTCCATTATTACTCTTTTCAGTTTTGCGACTAATCCATGGTCACACGTCGCGATTGTTGCAGTAGTCATTAGTGCGACAGCTTGAAGTTAATGTTAGTCTGAAACGACCTACCAAGAGCTACGGCTTCGCCTTTGGTAGTCATTAAGACTATTTCATCGTTGACATTGATGTCGTTGTCGTAACGGAGTACGCCAGGCAACATAAGTTTCGCACCGAAGCAAATAGCGCACACCTAATCTACACATGCTTCTATACGTAAAGGAACTTACGGCAGTATCCTTAAGCATAATTCGTTTGTGCTTGATGAGCAGCTTTTCAAGAGGCATTATAACACGACGCAAGTAAGTCTCATCTCGCCTATTGTCATAAAGCCACTTCGCATCTAGTATGTCATGCATAGTGACCAGGTTGTCCTGCAATATGAAGGACTTTGATTGGACATACCCTTTCAGACATAAAACCAGTTTTCGACCGCCTAAGTTCCTCCATAACACCTCCACAACCTAGAAGCAAGCCCAAATGCACGCAAAGCGTCCGAACATACGTTCCAGCCTCACAGCGCACCATTATTAACCCTACATTTAGTGTTGCAGGATCACAAGACTTACCCAAATTTTTACTTTTTTCATACTCTAACAGTTTACACTCGTATATTGTACGAACTCTGAGTTGGCGCTTAACAGCAGCAACTAGTGGAGGTCTCTGGAATAATGCTCCAGTTAGCCCTTCTACAGCCTATAGACGATCAATAAGGGACAAAGGTCAGTCTTGCGTCAACCAAGATGCAAAAATGCTGACAAGTTTAGAAACCGCTCACTTTTTGTATTTTTTTGATCTCATCCACGGACTCGTGAAGTCTAAATATACACACATACTCCTTACCAGCACTTTGCTGAGACTTCACTAGCCTAGTAGCACGGTCGATACAGACAATAAGACAGCCTGAGCCACTAAGAGTGAAATTGCCATACCTGAAACTTTGGGATCTAAAGTGCCACTATGACCAGTTTTGTTGACTCCAAGGGCCCGTTTCACCCACGCAACAACTTCATGCGACGATGGGTTGCATGGCTTGTCGAGGTTGATAACTCCACTCCTTAAAAGTTAGAGAGATGGTTCAGACAAACTTGATGTATTCATCCAGAGGTCTGTGTAAAGGAGAGTAACCTGTTGTATCGGCCTCGAAATGGCACTCGCGTACATTCATAAGATGAACATTCTGAGTCTGAGGGGTGGTTATGAAATACCTACTTTTAACAATAATGGCCATTGGCTGCAATCCAAAGTAGGTTTCTTGTCCTCTGAAATTACCGCAAAGGACTCAGATGCCTGAATAGCCTGAAATAAATTAACAAATAAGCAGAGACAACACTTCATCAACTAACTCGCTCTTTATGATAGTCAGTGAGCATATAGTTAATGTGACCTCGACTCACTAACGTTATAACAAGATATCGACATCCACTGACATAAATTTGACTTAGTAGTTTGAGATTCAACAAATGACTTGACCGACTCCAGTAAACTGGCATTGGGGACAATAACCATAAAGATATCTTAAATATAGTGGGGATCGGCTAATGGCTGCTTTCGATGACACATCTTATATTAACACCACATATATCATGCGTTTACGTTTTAAACGTGCAAATCTGAATAGTTGTCATATTCTATAAGTCATAAACGCGCAGTAAGGGGGATGCTTCACGAATATTCTTGTACGCAAGTTACGTCAGCCCATCGACTGTTGTCCTCAAGTATCAGTATTGAGGCACACGAGAACACAATGAATTGCGAGAAAATATACAGTTTATTTATAGCTCTGAAAAATAGAGTCAGTCACTGTCGTCGGATGATGATTCTTCAGCTTCCGTATCCTGACTGTAACGGAAAAGAACAAGATGACCAGACTAGTAGAATACAATCAGAAAGAAATGTCATCAATATGAGCAGACATATGCTTGTTCATCATTAACGATATTAGTGAAACTCACCCGTCGTGATCGTTCAAATTTTTGCTGAAATGTAAAAAAAACCTGACTTAGTTCGGATGGATAAAAAACGAAGCGACATTCAGATAATAGCGTCATCAATTGAAACAGACATATGCTTGATCATCATAGCCATTGTATTCTAAACGTACCTTGTCATTTCATCGTCACTTGAGTCGGAAGGATTTGGTGCTTTAATTCGCCGTCTATCAAAGATGTCGAAGATAAATAGTGAACTTACGTTACAGCTTCCCCAGCCTCACTCACTTCCATTTTGGTTTTGGATCTGAAGTACGCGTTATCAAACATTGACCACTTACCCAACAGAGTTCGGGTTATTTGTCACACCGTCAGATTCGGCAAACTTTTTAAGTAAACCTTGGGCAACAAGTTTTTTCCTTTCCATGGAAACAGGACCACGACCCCACTGGCGAGGATAGAGATCACGCTCCATTATTACTCTTTTCAGTTTTGCGACTAATCCATGGTCACACGTCGCGATTGTTGCAGTAGTCATTAGTGCGACAGCTTGAAGTTAATGTTAGTCTGAAACGACCTACCAAGAGCTACGGCTTCGCCTTTGGTAGTCATTAAGACTATTTCATCGTTGACATTGATGTCGTTGTCGTAACGGAGTACGCCAGGCAACATAAGTTTCGCACCGAAGCAAATAGCGCACACCTAATCTACACATGCTTCTATACGTAAAGGAACTTACGGCAGTATCCTTAAGCATAATTCGTTTGTGCTTGATGAGCAGCTTTTCAAGAGGCATTATAACACGACGCAAGTAAGTCTCATCTCGCCTATTGTCATAAAGCCACTTCGCATCTAGTATGTCATGCATAGTGACCAGGTTGTCCTGCAATATGAAGGACTTTGATTGGACATACCCTTTCAGACATAAAACCAGTTTTCGACCGCCTAAGTTCCTCCATAACACCTCCACAACCTAGAAGCAAGCCCAAATGCACGCAAAGCGTCCGAACATACGTTCCAGCCTCACAGCGCACCATTATTAACCCTACATTTAGTGTTGCAGGATCACAAGACTTACCCAAATTTTTACTTTTTTCATACTCTAACAGTTTACACTCGTATATTGTACGAACTCTGAGTTGGCGCTTAACAGCAGCAACTAGTGGAGGTCTCTGGAATAATGCTCCAGTTAGCCCTTCTACAGCCTATAGACGATCAATAAGGGACAAAGGTCAGTCTTGCGTCAACCAAGATGCAAAAATGCTGACAAGTTTAGAAACCGCTCACTTTTTGTATTTTTTTGATCTCATCCACGGACTCGTGAAGTCTAAATATACACACATACTCCTTACCAGCACTTTGCTGAGACTTCACTAGCCTAGTAGCACGGTCGATACAGACAATAAGACAGCCTGAGCCACTAAGAGTGAAATTGCCATACCTGAAACTTTGGGATCTAAAGTGCCACTATGACCAGTTTTGTTGACTCCAAGGGCCCGTTTCACCCACGCAACAACTTCATGCGACGATGGGTTGCATGGCTTGTCGAGGTTGATAACTCCACTCCTTAAAAGTTAGAGAGATGGTTCAGACAAACTTGATGTATTCATCCAGAGGTCTGTGTAAAGGAGAGTAACCTGTTGTATCGGCCTCGAAATGGCACTCGCGTACATTCATAAGATGAACATTCTGAGTCTGAGGGGTGGTTATGAAATACCTACTTTTAACAATAATGGCCATTGGCTGCAATCCAAAGTAGGTTTCTTGTCCTCTGAAATTACCGCAAAGGACTCAGATGCCTGAATAGCCTGAAATAAATTAACAAATAAGCAGAGACAACACTTCATCAACTAACTCGCTCTTTATGATAGTCAGTGAGCATATAGTTAATGTGACCTCGACTCACTAACGTTATAACAAGATATCGACATCCACTGACATAAATTTGACTTAGTAGTTTGAGATTCAACAAATGACTTGACCGACTCCAGAAAACTGGCATTGGGGACAATAACCATAAAGATATCTTAAATATAGTGGGGATCGGCTAATGGCTGCTTTCGATGACACATCTTATATTAACACCACATATATCATGCGTTTACGTTTTAAACGTGCAAATCTGAATAGTTGTCATATTCTATAAGTCATAAACGCGCAGTAAGGGGGATGCTTCACGAATATTCTTGTACACAAGTTACGTCAGCCCATCGACTGTTGTCCTCAAGTATCAGTATTGAGGCACACGAGAACACAATGAATTGCGAGAAAATATACAGTTTATTTATAGCTCTGAAAAATAGAGTCAGTCACTGTCGTCGGATGATGATTCTTCAGCTTCCGTATCCTGACTGTAACGGAAAAGAACAAGATGACCAGACTAGTAGAATACAATCAGAAAGAAATGTCATCAATATGAGCAGACATATGCTTGTTCATCATTAACGATATTAGTGAAACTCACCCGTCGTGATCGTTCAAATTTTTGCTGAAATGTAAAAAAAACCTGACTTAGTTCGGATGGATAAAAAACGAAGCGACATTCAGATAATAGCGTCATCAATTGAAACAGACATATGCTTGATCATCATAGCCATTGTATTCTAAACGTACCTTGTCATTTCATCGTCACTTGAGTCGGAAGGATTTGGTGCTTTAATTCGCCGTCTATCAAAGATGTCGAAGATAAATAGTGAACTTACGTTACAGCTTCCCCAGCCTCACTCACTTCCATTTTGGTTTTGGATCTGAAGTACGCGTTATCAAACATTGACCACTTACCCAACAGAGTTCGGGTTATTTGTCACACCGTCAGATTTGGCAAACTTTTTAAGTAAACCTTGGGCAACAAGTTTTTTCCTTTCCATGGAAACAGGACCACGACCCCACTGGCGAGGATAGAGATCACGCTCCATTATTACTCTTTTCAGTTTTGCGACTAATCCATGGTCACACGTCGCGATTGTTGCAGTAGTCATTAGTGCGACAGCTTGAAGTTAATGTTAGTCTGAAACGACCTACCAAGAGCTACGGCTTCGCCTTTGGTAGTCATTAAGACTATTTCATCGTTGACATTGATGTCGTTGTCGTAACGGAGTACGCCAGGCAACATAAGTTTCGCACCGAAGCAAATAGCGCACACCTAATCTACACATGCTTCTATACGTAAAGGAACTTACGGCAGTATCCTTAAGCATAATTCGTTTGTGCTTGATGAGCAGCTTTTCAAGAGGCATTATAACACGACGCAAGTAAGTCTCATCTCGCCTATTGTCATAAAGCCACTTCGCATCTAGTATGTCATGCATAGTGACCAGGTTGTCCTGCAATATGAAGGACTTTGATTGGACATACCCTTTCAGACATAAAACCAGTTTTCGACCGCCTAAGTTCCTCCATAACACCTCCACAACCTAGAAGCAAGCCCAAATGCACGCAAAGCGTCCGAACATACGTTCCAGCCTCACAGCGCACCATTATTAACCCTACATTTAGTGTTGCAGGATCACAAGACTTACCCAAATTTTTACTTTTTTCATACTCTAACAGTTTACACTCGTATATTGTACGAACTCTGAGTTGGCGCTTAACAGCAGCAACTAGTGGAGGTCTCTGGAATAATGCTCCAGTTAGCCCTTCTACAGCCTATAGACGATCAATAAGGGACAAAGGTCAGTCTTGCGTCAACCAAGATGCAAAAATGCTGACAAGTTTAGAAACCGCTCACTTTTTGTATTTTTTTGATCTCATCCACGGACTCGTGAAGTCTAAATATACACACATACTCCTTACCAGCACTTTGCTGAGACTTCACTAGCCTAGTAGCACGGTCGATACAGACAATAAGACAGCCTGAGCCACTAAGAGTGAAATTGCCATACCTGAAACTTTGGGATCTAAAGTGCCACTATGACCAGTTTTGTTGACTCCAAGGGCCCGTTTCACCCACGCAACAACTTCATGCGACGATGGGTTGCATGGCTTGTCGAGGTTGATAACTCCACTCCTTAAAAGTTAGAGAGATGGTTCAGACAAACTTGATGTATTCATCCAGAGGTCTGTGTAAAGGAGAGTAACCTGTTGTATCGGCCTCGAAATGGCACTCGCGTACATTCATAAGATGAACATTCTGAGTCTGAGGGGTGGTTATGAAATACCTACTTTTAACAATAATGGCCATTGGCTGCAATCCAAAGTAGGTTTCTTGTCCTCTGAAATTACCGCAAAGGACTCAGATGCCTGAATAGCCTGAAATAAATTAACAAATAAGCAGAGACAACACTTCATCAACTAACTCGCTCTTTATGATAGTCAGTGAGCATATAGTTAATGTGACCTCGACTCACTAACGTTATAACAAGATATCGACATCCACTGACATAAATTTGACTTAGTAGTTTGAGATTCAACAAATGACTTGACCGACTCCAGAAAACTGGCATTGGGGACAATAACCATAAAGATATCTTAAATATAGTGGGGATCGGTAATGGCTGCTTTCGATGACACATCTTATATTAACACCACATATATCATGCGTTTACGTTTTAAACGTGCAAATCTGAATAGTTGTCATATTCTATAAGTCATAAACGCGCAGTAAGGGGGATGCTTCACGAATATTCTTGTACGCAAGTTACGTCAGCCCATCGACTGTTGTCCTCAAGTATCAGTATTGAGGCACACGAGAACACAATGAATTGCGAGAAAATATACAGTTTATTTATAGCTCTGAAAAATAGAGTCAGTCACTGTCGTCGGATGATGATTCTTCAGCTTCCGTATCCTGACTGTAACGGAAAAGAACAAGATGACCAGACTAGTAGAATACAATCAGAAAGAAATGTCATCAATATGAGCAGACATATGCTTGTTCATCATTAACGATATTAGTGAAACTCACCCGTCGTGATCGTTCAAATTTTTGCTGAAATGTAAAAAAAACCTGACTTAGTTCGGATGGATAATAAACGAAGCGACATTGTTACATTATATATCGTCCGTACCCGAGAACCACTTCACGTGATATTCTTCGTCCCAATGTTTATCACCATTCTACAGCCAGTGTATCATATCATCATGAGGCTTGTAGTTAGAGTCCTAACCTCCAAACTTTTAGAAGTCTACTCTAGAGTGTGACAGAAACTCTAAATACGAAGGCGTTAACGGTGAACACAACCGTTTGTTATACGTCACATATTTGATAACGAAATTTCGCTAACCTGTTGATACGGGTGCAGAAGTTGGAGTTGTTCCGCGAATTTTAACGAACGACTTCACGAATCGGTTTCAAACTTACAGGCGGCAAACAGAAAGCCTGTCGCAACATATGGTCAACTATACGTCTACTTTAATGTGGGTTTACGCAAACCCATCCACTGGGTTTTTGTTGTTGCAGATGTTTCTATGCTAATCATTTGTATAGACCTGCTACAACTCCTGCTCGATATGGTCAAATTATAGGAGTCGGTGCTTCGTAGTTGTAAGAGTACTTATTTTTAAAGGTAAAAGGTTGTGCTCATATTCCTTATTTCCCGACTGCATCCACCTTGCCATTTTAACACATGTAACAAACATTCTAACAAAATATGGACTACGGGAAATTGATTTACATTGAAAGCGTGCAATCTAGAGAGTGGTGCTTATAACGAAGACAAGAATAATCCCACTAAAACTTCAGAAAGATCACTGTCCAAAGAGTACATAAAAAAAACGGAATGTTTGTGCTAAATAAAGGACTCATCACTTAGTGGATCTATGTTGACATATCGTTCAATAGATATTCAAAGTCTTGAAGGTGATTTATTGTCAATGGGTTGATCACACAGAGCTTGAGAGTCTTATTTTCTAAACATTCCAACCTTTTATTATTCGATATGGAATAACAGGAAATTTAACGGCTACACAAAATAAGAGGGTCGATAAGTACTTCAACCGTAATTTTAAATAACAGTGTGAGGTCCTCGACAGGCACTTGACCACCCAACTCAGGCTGCTATGAGATCGTTGATTAGTGCTCACATTCTCTGTATTATCATGGTGTTGGTCAGTATCCAGATTCAGCTTACTATCTCACTTGATACAGGAAAGTATTCAACTGTGGTTATGCCTCATTAACTAGCTCTTAATGCTCCGGTAGGTTTGTTGAAATATCCTCCACTAGCAAATATAGCGCTTGTTAGATCCAAACTAAGGTTTGGACTGAAGAATAGCTGTCTAGGTGGGTTAGGTACGCGCCCTTGCCCGGTTGAAACCAAAACAAAGTGATTGGGTAAAATGACGGTTCTGAAATTCATTATAAATTTAAATGTACACTGTTACCTAAACAAATATGACCACCCAACTATTCAACCAATAGTTGTTTAATTGACCAAAACAATCGCAACAAATAAATGTTATTCTATCCTGTCTGGATAGACAACGCACAGATTCGTTCAAAAGATATTTGGTTGCTTTGTAACACAGAGTGTTTTCAATTGTGGAAAAGTGCTTCAATTAGCAATCAATGATACACAATTCCAGTCAATACAAACAGCACAATCAAAAAAAGGAACAAAGCAGTATGGCTGCCGTCAAGAATAAGTATCAAGTGAAACAACATAAATGCAGTTTTGAAGAAGAAACTTATTGAAGGCATACGAAAAATAAAAACTACAATAAAATACAAATATTAACAACTCAAATAAAATCAAAAAGACTAACGAAGTATACAACTAAAGGTATCAATAAGAACAAATTACAAATGTATACATGGAGGGATTTTTACACACAAAACCTTTAAAATGGATCTTACAGCGCTTAATCAACGTGAGTGGATATAGATTGATAGTTAATGCAAGATATGACCGAATACTTGTCTGGAATTAATTATGTGTCTCATTCCTTTTCCGTGCATTCCACTTCACTTTACATTATGGACTTCCTTCTGATATCTGTTCTCTTGTGCTATGCTACGCTAACAAAACAATTTTCTAGGTGCTTCAACATGGTTACAACCATAGTTAATTACAAGGTTACTGTTTGATGATGTCATGCTGAGCCGATGTGATAACTTGACTATAATATGGTTGTAAGTCATACAAGTTGGTCTGGATAGGGACCGCTCAGATCAATATTAAATGAGAATTATGTGGATGAATATTTCTATGTAACATGATCAAATATATCAGCTGTGAATTACCGTCGTGACACCACGTTAGACTGCCAATATCGCTTAATCCATTGACGTGGATATATTCTGGATAATCAAAATTAATCTGCGTTTAAAACAACACTGCCTATCTCTCACTCGTTAATGCTCAATAAATATGACAAATAAGGGTTCATAAAAATCTCTCAACACAGTCGTATGGCACTGTCATGAACTGATGACTGCGTAATATGACTGATATAGTTGATGGAACTATTGGAAGACCCAGGAGAAAAACTGACTGATAACTGTCACCATAAATAAAGTGTTTTCTCGTGGCTAAATTTATCAACCATAGATAATGTCGGTATATTGTTCTATCGATGGCTTCACTAATAAACAACTTTGAACCTTTTCAGTTCATCCGTATTTCTTTAGCGCTTTCAGGAGTAAAACAGCAGAGTCTCATTCACAGTACCGATTCAGTAAATCGTCACTGAAAAGATCCTAACAGTGTAATCTTATGAGGTTGAGTAAATAACAGTAGAATTTTGTATTTAGGGTTTTTGTCACACTCTAGAGTAGACTTCTAATAGTTTGGAGGTTAGGACCTTAACTACAAGCCTCATGATGATATGATTCACTGGCTGTAGAATGGTGATAAACATTGGGACGAAGAATATCACGTGAAGTGGTTCTCGGGTGCGGGACGATTTATGATGTAACAGTGTCCACACAAATCATGAGGTATGTGTGACTTAGAAAAGAAGCATGTCAAAGATGAAGCCTTAAGTGACCCTTCTTTTCTTAGTAAATCATTTTGGGAAACAGAACATTGATGAAAGTCTTCCATTGAGATGATCACGTAATCACTTAAGCAAACATACACGAGCAATGATATTAGCAAGAATATCATTTCATCCATGGAATGAAAACTTTTTTGGGTGATGGAGAATAGTGGTTATTTGCTATTAAATACTGAAGAAGTTCTTTGTTTATACGCATTCATAAAGCTGTTAGACCTTGACGGCGTGCTTGTTCATTCCGCGTGACACTGGTAATGAAGAAACACAAAGTTAGAGCTGGTGATGTGGGAGTAAGTTCTTGTCTCTGCTTATTTGTTAATTTATTTCAGGCTATTCAGGCATCTGAGTCCTTTGCGGTAATTTCAGAGGACAAGAAACCTACTTTGGATTGCAGCCAATGGCCATTATTGTTAAAAGTAGGTATTTCATAACCACCCCTCAGACTCAGAATGTTCATCTTATGAATGTACGCGAGTGCCATTTCGAGGCCGATACAACAGGTTACTCTCCTTTACACAGACCTCTGGATGAATACATCAAGTTTGTCTGAACCATCTCTCTAACTTTTAAGGAGTGGAGTTATCAACCTCGACAAGCCATGCAACCCATCGTCGCATGAAGTTGTTGCGTGGGTGAAACGGGCCCTTGGAGTCAACAAAACTGGTCATAGTGGCACTTTAGATCCCAAAGTTTCAGGTATGGCAATTTCACTCTTAGTGGCTCAGGCTGTCTTATTGTCTGTATCGACCGTGCTACTAGGCTAGTGAAGTCTCAGCAAAGTGCTGGTAAGGAGTATGTGTGTATATTTAGACTTCACGAGTCCGTGGATGAGATCAAAAAAATACAAAAAGTGAGCGGTTTCTAAACTTGTCAGCATTTTTGCATCTTGGTTGACGCAAGACTGACCTTTGTCCCTTATTGATCGTCTATAGGCTGTAGAAGGGCTAACTGGAGCATTATTCCAGAGACCTCCACTAGTTGCTGCTGTTAAGCGCCAACTCAGAGTTCGTACAATATACGAGTGTAAACTGTTAGAGTATGAAAAAAGTAAAAATTTGGGTAAGTCTTGTGATCCTGCAACACTAAATGTAGGGTTAATAATGGTGCGCTGTGAGGCTGGAACGTATGTTCGGACGCTTTGCGTGCATTTGGGCTTGCTTCTAGGTTGTGGAGGTGTTATGGAGGAACTTAGGCGGTCGAAAACTGGTTTTATGTCTGAAAGGGTATGTCCAATCAAAGTCCTTCATATTGCAGGACAACCTGGTCACTATGCATGACATACTAGATGCGAAGTGGCTTTATGACAATAGGCGAGATGAGACTTACTTGCGTCGTGTTATAATGCCTCTTGAAAAGCTGCTCATCAAGCACAAACGAATTATGCTTAAGGATACTGCCGTAAGTTCCTTTACGTATAGAAGCATGTGTAGATTAGGTGTGCGCTATTTGCTTCGGTGCGAAACTTATGTTGCCTGGCGTACTCCGTTACGACAACGACATCAATGTCAACGATGAAATAGTCTTAATGACTACCAAAGGCGAAGCCGTAGCTCTTGGTAGGTCGTTTCAGACTAACATTAACTTCAAGCTGTCGCACTAATGACTACTGCAACAATCGCGACGTGTGACCATGGATTAGTCGCAAAACTGAAAAGAGTAATAATGGAGCGTGATCTCTATCCTCGCCAGTGGGGTCGTGGTCCTGTTTCCATGGAAAGGAAAAAACTTGTTGCCCAAGGTTTACTTAAAAAGTTTGCCAAATCTGACGGTGTGACAAATAACCCGAACTCTGTTGGGTAAGTGGTCAATGTTTGATAACGCGTACTTCAGATCCAAAACCAAAATGGAAGTGAGTGAGGCTGGGGAAGCTGTAACGTAAGTTCACTATTTATCTTCGACATCTTTGATAGACGGCGAATTAAAGCACCAAATCCTTCCGACTCAAGTGACGATGAAATGACAAGGTACGTTTAGAATACAATGGCTATGATGATCAAGCATATGTCTGTTTCAATTGATGACGCTATTATCTGAATGTCGCTTCGTTTTTTATCCATCCGAACTAAGTCAGGTTTTTTTTACATTTCAGCAAAAATTTGAACGATCACGACGGGTGAGTTTCACTAATATCGTTAATGATGAACAAGCATATGTCTGCTCATATTGATGACATTTCTTTCTGATTGTATTCTACTAGTCTGGTCATCTTGTTCTTTTCCGTTACAGTCAGGATACGGAAGCTGAAGAATCATCATCCGACGACAGTGACTGACTCTATTTTTCAGAGCTATAAATAAACTGTATATTTTCTCGCAATTCATTGTGTTCTCGTGTGCCTCAATACTGATACTTGAGGACAACAGTCGATGGGCTGACGTAACTTGCGTACAAGAATATTCGTGAAGCATCCCCCTTACTGCGCGTTTATGACTTATAGAATATGACAACTATTCAGATTTGCACGTTTAAAACGTAAACGCATTATATATGTGGTGTTAATATAAGATGTGTCATCGAAAGCAGCCATTAGCCGATCCCCACTATATTTAAGATATCTTTATGGTTATTGTCCCCAATGCCAGTTTTCTGGAGTCGGTCAAGTCATTTGTTGAATCTCAAACTACTAAGTCAAATTTATGTCAGTGGATGTCGATATCTTGTTATAACGTTAGTGAGTCGAGGTCACATTAACTATATGCTCACTGACTATCATAAAGAGCGAGTTAGTTGATGAAGTGTTGCCTTCACTGCTACATAGAGTAAGGATGGATATCCTCCTTAGAAGCCAATCACGAAAACGCATCTGCTGATTTCGTGTTATCTCGCGTTGCCAAACCTGATATTTACATTCGAGGCGATAAATAATCATCATATCACTGTTGAACTTTTGTTGGTACTCACCTTCGTGCGCCATACGGTGGAACGTAGTTTGGCATAATCGGATTTACCTTAGTTCGTTAGTTTAGCATTCAGACGGAACACTGAGATTCAGTTCGTTACACTAATTGCAGTAATTTTAACCCTATCCCTTGGATTATTCTACTGGTACCGATATCACTGAAAGTCAATATATACGAACAGGACAACATCGTCTATCCAAACTGACCTTTTGGTTAAAATCCAATGTAGTGTCATTATCAGCATTCCTGATGCATCGGTTGTTTCACCACTCGACCATTACTTATCTAGGGATGGATCACTTATACTGTCTATTAGTTAAAATATTAACTACCAGTTAGTTTTATGCGTTTTGATGTGACTCGCCAAGTCATTTTTCTACTGAATCATGTCTGGGTTTCTTTTTCTTTGAATTAGCCAGGTCGTTTTTTATTTGGCACATATTGTTAACTAATCTAAACATTTTGAAGCCATTTACATGTTATTTCTAAGTCAATTGCTCCTGTTTTGTTTGATTTACCGTTCAGCTTATGGTTACTGTAGGATTTTTTCCAACCTCTTTGTGAACTCTGGTGTGCGATGGCCTTACTCGGTTTGATTCTACTGAGACAATGAACCGATAGTGAACCCTTATCACAAGTCATCCATCAGGCTGAGCGGATTTAAAGCCAAACGGGAGAACACTGGATATTGAATAGTAGATGGAAAGTATGGAATGAGATTGAGTGTCAACTGTGGAACATAGTTGAGGCGGTATAGCTCGGCCATTCAGAAGTGATCATTACGACCCCTTCATTTTTATTTTGAGCATATCATTTCATCCGTAAGCTTGATTGTTTTCTTCAAAGTTTCCCAGAAAAATACCCCGAACCGTCTCAATAATATTAGTTAGTTTTTATATATTTATATAATGAGAAAAACGTGCATGACACTCGTGGACTTTTATACAGTTGTATATGTATTTGATTTGTTCTTCGTTGTAAAGGGTACGTATTGTGATCGACTCAGAACTGTTTTATCACTACTGACGAATAATTATATCTGAAAACGAAGAATAGATGAATGAACGTTATAACCGAGTAAATATTTTAAAATTATACTTTGAGGTATACAGTTGGTAAAATGTATGGATCTCCCAATAATATGCTGGTCCTACAAATCTATTGTGACTGGAATTTCCAAATAAATAAAAACAGTGGATGCAATATTTCAACTTCAAGAGAGTAGTGATAAAGATTGTTTTCAGGATTCAGTGTTTTATTGAAATAGTGTTGCAAATATTTTTTTAAAATTTCCTGGTACGGCCGAGAGTAGGAAGAGTCCGCTCTCACATGGTCACGCGTATATAGCCTCTGCCAGAGAAGTCCTACTCACTGCCTTCTCGTGGCTGGGGTGTTGTTTACGAAAATGAGAGGACGAACAGCGAATGTCCGGCGCTTTAACCGGATCCCAAACCAAATCAATGGTGCACATGGGCCCCAGTATCCTGCGGGAACAAATGGCGTATGAACCAATTGTTGGTCACCGGCTTCCATGGGACTGCATCTCCATACGATGCCCCACTGCCTTGTGGATCAGACCTTCGGGGAGTAGCCCCCTAAGAAAACCACCTGCTTCGGTTTGGGCACCCGGGCAGTATCGCAGCCCTCACACATATCGAATGAGATTTGTGTTGCGATATGTATTTGGTGCCTCCTTGAACCAATATTTATGTGTTAAAATAAATAATTTTTTCAAACAGGAGTGGATTGTTTCAGCTGTTCAAACAACTGTTAGATTGTGTTTCATCACGTCAGAAGTTCGAATATTTAAAAGTATTTTTACTATTTAAGGCTGTATAAAGAAAATCATGTAGTGACTAAGAATCTCGTTGCTTATGCTGGACGTCCTAAAGAGTAACACGGCAAACGCTGTCAACACACACTTCGGTATCTGCAGTCTACATCGTGACAGTAGGAGTTCCGGATAATCTTCGGGGTTGAAAACACTGCCGAATGACATCTTCGTGGTTATCGAAAATTGCAATAACACTTATGTTTGTTACCATTTTTTTTCTTTGTAACCAGAATCCCTTATAAGGCGAGTGTTGTCTAGATATGTAGGTTTTATTTGTTGTATTACTTAAAAATTGCATTGATTGTAGAATTTACAGTCTGCACCATTAAGATGTGCATCACTCTCAGGTTATGTTGAGACCAGATCATCTATCCATATAAAGCTGAAATCGGAATATGAAATATCCATGGATAGGATGTGCATATCTTTTTTTAATGGTTGTACATAGCCTGCTTGACAGTTCACTGCGTTAGTACAACGGTAGCCCGGTTTACAACGTGAATTATCATAAAATTAGCCTTATTTATTTGTATCAGAAGGGTTTTTGTGGATTTTAAAGTAATTTCAATGGTTGAGATCATAGGTCGATTAAAGCTAGACCATCATGAAAAACCTGTAAGCACTGGATGGCCGTTTCATCCTATTGTGGGAATCCTCGGCAGTGCGCATCCACGATCCCACCTCGCGAGATTCAAATCCAGAACCTATCAGTTTCGCGCGCGAGCGCTTAACCACTAGACCACTCAGCCGGCATCCAACGATGTTAAGGTCTAACTTCAACCAATCCACTGAATTGAGCGACACATACACCATTGTCTTCAGTGAGTTAGTATCTGACAACAGACTCAGTTGAGCTCCACTGGTCACTGTTTCTCATTAGAACTCCAGGAAATATCCCTCGAAGCCAGTCACTCGTGAGCATATGTCAATTCATATCAGAAGGGTTTTTCTGGATATTATAGTAGTTTCAATGGTTGAGATCATGTGTCAATTGATTTATGTCATCATAAATGAATTCATAGAAAACATTTATTCCCGACGCCGGAAAAACAATCGGGATTTTATGGCATTCTCGTAAATGAAATTTTTTTAGCTTATTACCACATGGCGATTATGCTGGAGAAAGTTTTGTGTTAATTTTGAAGACAAAAAATAACAGTAGTAAGTACCAAACATTTGATTTTATGATATATGTAAAACAATCTACGGTAGGGCCATTGTAGCGCGTTTGGACGTAAATAATCTAGAATTCGCAATCACTATTTACATGGATTGAGCTAAGGGAACAGAGGGACATTGCCGTGCGTTATCATCTATTTTTTTATCCTCTGTCAAATGTAAAATCAACGACTGTGACACATTTTCAAGCGAAATTGAAAACGTATAGCTTTCCGTATTACACATGTTGGATTATCTTTCAGATAAGCGATTCAAAGAGATCATATGTTGTTTCCTGTCAATACTTGGTTTGAGTACCGAAGTAGTGATGCGGCGGCTTGCCAAAACACTCCGTGTCTGGTGTTAGACTGTGCTGCTTCAGTCAGGAGAACCGGGTGACGTCACTAATATTCATACAATAGTGTAACTCCTCTCTGTACACTCAAATATTTACTTGATTAGTGTTGAATACCACTGTAATTTGTCTAATAAATTCGAAAAGTGATTTATTGTGGCGACGAACTGCAAGTATAATGCCATTTACTCAAATTAATTGATAAAAATGGAGTTAGATATAGACATTTAACCAGTTTCCTTTCAGTCTTATTGATGATAGTATGCTTGCTTATAATGCGAGCGTCTGTCTTCGTACATTAGATAAACTAATAACTGAGAGGAACATAGCTAACTGTTTTTCTGACTATAGTTTCTTTTTTTGTGGTCATGTAGGATAATTCAGTCGGGTGGAATATTATTCATTCAGTAATTACGTTTTGTATAACTGCTGTAACGTATATGTAAATTTGCTAACTTATTTACAAAGAAAGTCCCAAAATAGTAACTGTTATAAAATATCTTACCATTCAGTCGCCTGTTCAGACGCTCAAGGGATTTGATTAACCGCTCCTCTTCTATCGACAATGCTGACGGTATTTCAGGTCTTCCTTCAAAATTCAACAGTAAAATAAAGTATTCCGGAAAGATGTTCTAGGTGTTAAGTCAGGGGAAACTTTATAAAAGGCTAATATGAACTAGAATTTGAGAGGACCATTTATATTCAATTAGTATGTTCGCGTAGGTAGATAACAACTTGATTTTAGTCCCATAGATCAAACACTTAATTTTAACGTGCGGCTGCGAGAGGAGGAATCTCGGTATATAAAGATGATTTTGATTTCTATAAAACTAGCTGTTGAATAATAGGGTCTTCATTGTGCAAGAAAATTCTAAAATGTCATCGGTTCCTAAAGTTTAACGTGAAAAATGTACCGTTTTAAAGCAATTCTAATGTTTAGGCATGTTAGTTCTCAAAATAAATATAATTTCCAAAACAAAAAAGTGTCCTTTAAAGTTCCTTTTTCGATTGAGTTTTACTTGAGAAGGCAATGAAGCTGAATAATATTACAGATAATTGCTTCCCCATTGCACTATGACCATCGGAGCGATACTGAAGTATAACAAAAAGGTGCTACAAAAACACTAGAAGATTGTGCTATGCAACAAACACTAGGGCTTGATGAACAATACTTCACTGTAGAACGAATCAAACTAAGGTCATTTCTATTGATCACTAACACGACTATTATATACAATAGAGAATTACTCACTAAGGTTCCTACCTGGATTTCAATTGTTAATTTGCAATCCAACTTTAGATGTTATTTACTTTTTGACGGTTGAGCAGTACACTTGACTCTTACATGCTAAAAACACTGCTAATTCGCTGTATTATTTAGTCATTCTTCATCAAAAGAAACAGATGGGAATATGGATTTTTAATGTGTACAAGAAGAGATTAGAGATAATATTAGGGAATGGGGTAAAACTAAATAAAGTATACCTTACTAAAAACTCCATACTGGATGAGATACCAATAAACTAGAATTCATATGCTATTACTGTATATTACTGCTCAACTGTCATAAGTAGTACGTTTCGCAGCAACACCACCCCATGGAAAACAGAATAATCATTTTAAACAATTTAAACTTTTCTGGAGATTGAAGAATCTTCTTTCAGGAAGATTATAGCGCCTCATGGAAAAAGCCTATATTCTTCGGAAGTCACGAGACCGATGCTCATTCTAAAAACCAGAGCATCAATTGATATAGGTACATGGAATGTCCAGACAATGTGGGACACCGGGAAGACTAATCAAATAGCAGCGGAAATGAGGGGAATCAATCCAGCGGTTCTTGGATTAATTGAAACCCATTGGAGCCATGCTGGACAGCAAAAGCTGGATACGGGAGAGATGCTGCTGTACTCCGGTCACGAAGATGGAAATGCTCCATACACTCGGGGAGTCATTCTAATGCTGTCTAAAGAAGCACGAAATGCACTTGTAGGGTGGGAATCTCATGGATCCAGAATCATCAAAGCATCATTCAAAACAAAGAAGGAGGGCATAACAATGAATGTTATCTAGTGTTAAGCACCAACCAATTATAGCGATGAAGACGATGAAGATCAGTCTTATGAGAGTCTGAAGTCGGTCGTAGAGAAGTGCTCAGGAAAAGACCTGACTATCCTGATAGGAGACGCAAACTCCAAAAG